TCTCTCTCTCTCTCTCTCTCTCTCTCTCTCTCTCTCTCTCTCTCTCTCTCTCTCTATCTTTTTATCTTTGTCTTTTTCCCCACTTCCCGCAACGCACCACGATTATTCTAATTTTTTCCTTTCCTTCAGCCTCTCTTCCATTCTGCAATCATTAATCCGATTTGAAATGAATATAGACTATTTTATATTACATTTCGAAATTAGAGCAAACTCATTTCCGCACTTTGCCGATTGGATGTTCACTTGAATGAGAATAACGTGCTCGACGTTATTCTTAATTTTACGAACGGTATTCGACAGTTAACAACCTGTCGTTGGCATTTTGGTGCATTGTGGATTTGTGTCGCATGAACGATTATTTAAACCTCGCTTGGCGAAAAGCTATTGCAAATCGGCGAACTCGACCTGGTTGAAAGAGTGACCGGCAGGTAGTCTTTTTCCACTCTCTCTCTCTCCTTGTCTCTATTTCTTACAGGAGGAATTCCTGCGCGGGCCTTCACTGCTTTAAGATACGCACAAGATTCCATTAAAACCGCCGCAACAATTGCTTTTGAATACTTCTCGGCATCTCTCATTAATTCTAAATACCTCTTTTTTTGAGATCTTATATTTATAGCACAAAATAATAAAACACACACATATATATGTACACACATTCACCTCTGGCAAAATAATCATAAAAGAACAAGTAGTTATTAATAAGAGATAGGTCGTTTGTTAACGTCAAAACAGTTCGAGATAAAAACTATTATTCAAGATGAACTAACTTACGTGGAGAATTTCGTAGAATATGAGTCATTTGCGATGATTGTAATGTTTATAGATATGAGTTTCTCTCGTAGGATTCCCGAGACTTATAATTGAATTGCATAATATTTCTTCTCTTTGTGAGCTTTTAAAGCTTCTTACTTAAGAATGCAAGATAAAATTAAACAAACCGTAAAAATGTTTCGCATGTTTAACCTGTTTATAACATGATAATTACATGATAATTACATTTATGCCAATCTGTCAATTGCTAAACGGTTATTTTATTCGGTCGAAAAGTAATTATGCCGTTAGAAATTGATACTTGCGGCTATAATCATTAGTGTAGCTCCATTGAGCGCTTGGACTTGCTTTCATAGTTCTACACTAAGAAAAAACTGATTGAGTTAATGAAACGTTGCTTGAACGAACAAAAGTCGTTCGAGTAAACGTTTAATCGATTGAATGAATTATATTGTTACTGCAACGAGTTATATATATATATATATATATATATATATATATATATATATATATATTATAGTTATATATATCAATTCATGACTCAATGGCTGTGATTCGATCGGTAATTATATCAACGCAACTTATTGTTGTACTAACGCATAATTTGTTCAATAGACACATTTCTTTGAAAATGGATCATCACCGATTTGTCGATCCAACTGCTTTTTTCCTCCATATATTGTACAACGCGATATATTCTTCAAAATTAACATTGTGCAGTTTGATACTTTTAACATTCCTATTGACAAAAATAACTTGAGGAATTATTTGAAGAATTTACTTTGAGGAATGCATTTATATACTTAATGAACAATTTGATTTAATATACAGAATATGTTAGAACTGTCGCATATTAATAGCAAGTCTAAAGTTGAATTAAACTCGAAAATCCTAATACGAAAATGTCTAATTTAATTTTAACAACACGAAATAGAAAATGTCCATGCGTATGTTTACACATCATCACATTTCTCTTTTAATGCGTCTAACAGTAAAAGTGAAAAATAAAATTAAATTATAAAAATAAACCAATCACGTTCTTTCGTTGATAATGTTAATGACGTAATTATATTTTGCGGGTGACATAATAATGAACATAATAAGTGTTTTGTATGTATAAAATACATATACATGGCAGCGGATCGCAAAAGGACTTTCAAAACTTGAGGAAAAAAATAATGAAAATTGTACCGACTCGTTACTTTTAGAATAAAGCTGATAGCAACAAGTTACTTTTAAGATGAAACTTTTGCCCACTTTGAGAAAAAATCGACATATAGATATATAATATAAAATAATATAAAAAATAATATATTATAAAAAATGACTACATGTATCACGATTACAAGTGTATAAATCATTTTGATTGGTTTAGTTATTAATATCATTATCATGATAGACAATTAATTTTTTGCATAATTAAAAAGGAAATACGTAATTATTTAATAATACAAGAGTAACGAAGCGACGCACAATGTTGCGCAGTGCTCGTTTCTATGGACAAAAATCATTATTTGAAATCTATTCAAGATATTGATTTAAAATTTTACAAACATAAATCATATAAAAGTGTTTTCCTCATAGTCACTGACCAAATTTGGAACAATTAAGATAGTGAAGGAGAAGAAAATATTCCAATTGCGGAGAAAGTGATACACTATTTACTTTTATTGTTAATATCAATAATATATAATATTATTATGTATATGATTAATATTTCACATTATTTAAAACTATATTAAATTTTACTTATTTTATTTTTTTTATTTACTTTTCGCTCCAATTTCTAAAATTATCAGGTCGGTATTTGATAAAAAATTTGTGTTATTTATGCGTTATATTATATTTTAGACACTATGCTTTTGCAAGAAGAAAAAGTTTCTGTTACGTTTCATAAAACGGTTTTTTTTCCATGAAAGCAGACTCTTTGCAACACTGTACGGCATGTAAGAATAAAATTGCACGAATACGAGACGATCTGAAAATCAAAACGTAATATTCCTTTGCAATCTGTGGTATCTCTCACGAAACTTTAATTACAAATCTAACTTTTGATTACGCGTCTGTACATATTTATCTGATTATTTTTCTACGCGAAAATAAATGCAGCGAACGCGAGTTGCAATAACAGCAAAATTAATTATACATATATTATTAATTAATTATATACATAATATAATTATATAGTAATAAAATGTGTTGATTTGTTCTAGCCTTGAATGCACCTGCATGATATATTCGCTTCCGCGATAATAGTCAGGCAAAATGAATATTCAAGTATATTCGTTTCTGCGAATGCTAATGTGGGTGAGCCTTCATGCAGTTTCTCGCGCGCTTTTGTGCGTTTTCGCACCAGCGACACCAGACGTTCAGTTTTGTTGCGGTACATCCGTACCTACCCAAGTAGAATAGGTTGCCTATTAGTTAATGTTCTTGAAGTTAACTTTTGAAACGTATCTATAAGATAACAATAATTCAATGTCAATAATTCGTCTCCATTAATATGGCATCGATTAAATAAATGTTTACAATTGGTTAATAGTTCATTTACGCATCTTATAATTATGATTTGGTATATATTTAATTTGTACCAACTTTTAATTGATACTTAACTGATACTTTTATATCTAAGTAATATCTCTTTGGATATTAAAAGTTATCTTTCGGGCCGACATTAAATAACCTTTTCAGTAAACAGAAACTTAACTTTTTTACCGAAAGTAAAGTTATCCTGACCTAATTTTATATAGTAGAATGAAATACTTTAAGATAATGTTGTTCTACTTGGGTATACGCTCACTCGCAACTACAAACGGAGTTGCGCAAGAGAAAAATTTCACGATGCCGAGCAGAGAATAAAAGCGTACCGGGCTAAGAAAGAAACTCGATATAATAGCGATCAAATTGCAACTCGCTACGAATACCGTCGAACGGTCGGAAAACGGTCAGCGACCGCTGGTGATCGACCGCGTGTTCGTATCGTCGCTCACTGAGCTCGTAATCGAATAATCAAACGAATTCGAACTCATTTACAGTCTGGACGTGTTTTTATCGGCGCTCCGAAATCAGTTAGGTTTTAGAAGTTAATTGTGTGTCACATAAAAGAGATGAACCTTTTCATTAGATATCGGTAGATGTCGGTTGCATTGCGAAACAGTGTTGGACATTGATCGATGAGAGTTCTCTTTGCCAAGAGTAATCGGCAAATCAATATCAATAAACGAAATTAATCGGTCGTCATATATAAAAGCAAAAGTAATTTCTTCGATTAATGAAGTAAGTTATTAATCCACCTATAATATAATAATCTTGGCTACATATTATACACTCAATGCAATTATAAGATTAATAAGAACCGACGTAATGTGATTAATGCGATAATATAGATTTAATTAAGAAAAAATCTTAATTAACAAATACAATAATAACTACACGAATAAAAAAAGAAACAAGGAAACAGAGAAGCACAGAAGCAGAAAAAAGTTGTGATAATTTGTATCGCTAACTTATAAGTCTACTATGACAACTTTTTCCAGACTTGTTTCGACTCCCTTCCGCGTATTTTGTAATTCATGAATCGAATGGCGTGCTTTCTTTCTCTCTCTTTGACGACTTTTATTTTTATTTTATATGATTGACATGATTTCTTGAGCCACGGACAAGCAACAAGTATCAATATCACCGCACAACTCACTATCACGTGACATGGATATTTGCGTTGTCACGATCCGGCTTAATTTGTTTTTTAGTACTGTATCTCAAACTTCTGGTAAAATTCGCTTTTATATTTCCATCTTTTCACTTTAATTTATATTACGAACTTTGTGAACATGGAATTACGCTGAACAAGCATTGAAGAGGACCGAATAAACGGTCGAAACGTCTGCATTTCCTCGCTAGAAAAAGATTTCTACTTATATAAATTAAAATTTTTGTTTTTTAATTAAATCTATACTACTGTATTAACTATCTTACATCGGTTCTTATTAACCTTATCATTATATTAATTGAACATCATTTGAGTTTATAAACATATACATTTGTTGATTATATATTAATTAATGATTAATTTCATTAATCGATGAAATTATTTCTGTGATTTTATATATTAGGACCTTAACTTAGTTTCCGCCCAAAAAATACTGAGAAAAAGCATTTATTGTAAAAAATTTATTTAAATTATTTCAATGAAAGTATTTTCCATCACTTTCTACAACTTTTTGCCATCTTTCTGGCAACTGGGCGATACCATCTCGATAAAACGATGTTTGTTTCGAAGCAATCCATTCGTCCACCCATTCTCGCACTTCTTCAACATTTCGGAAGCGTGTACCACTCAA